TGTTGGTTGGTTTGTTGTTGGTTGGTTGGTTGGTTGGTTGTTAGTTGGTTTCTTGGTTTGTTTGTTTGTTGGTTTCTTGGCTTGTTGGGTGGTTGGTTTGTTGGTTGGTTGGTTGGTTCGTTGCTTAGTTTGTTTTTTGGTTTGTTGGGTGATATGTTGTTTTGTTTGTTGGCTTGGTTTGTTGCAATTGGTGGATTGGTTTGTTCTTGGTTTGTTTGTTGGATGTCTTTTGTATATTATGTTATATCACCGCATAAAATCCCTCGTTTCCGTGTGAGAAATTGCCGCACACTTTCCCGGATATTTTAGGTTTCCGGTAGAACCCGGGGGTTTCCGACCTGCACACGAAACGTGTCCAGCCCCGTACATGTCCTGTACACTCCCGGAAATGAACCACTTTTTGTGTGCAGGTCGTGTACTGGACGTTATATGCCCGGACACGATCCCTGTACATCCCCGTACACGGCAGGAAATGGCCGTGCACCGCTCCGTGCGTTGCTGGAATATGCATAATTTAGCGGCAATTATCACCTAATTATTCTCCACACGGCAGCGGAAATTCGCCGTGTACGGGTCGGACATGCCGGTACTACACCCCCCCCGGCCAAAACCCGCCCCGCTCTCGGGACCGGTTGCTCCCGTTCCCGGGACCCGTTGCTCCAAATCCCGGGGCCCTGCTGTTCCCCGTTCTCGGGACCCCACTGCACCCACTACGGCGACCCCCTTCCTGCTCCCGGGGCTTCGCTGCCCGGCTCCCGAGAAATCGCTTCCCCCGCGCCCGGGACACATTTCGATGTTTTAGGAGCACATTTCATTCATAAAAAAAAGTAATACATGTTTATACTTCATTCATCGTTTTATTGGTATAAACAGGATCGCCATTTACAGACTGACAAAAATAACGCTCTATGTATAGTGTATACACGTTATGCACCATGCTAACACTATACAATAATGTAACCTGGTACTTTACAAAAATGTGTAGCCGAAACATAGAAAAACATAGAAACAATAGCTTTTTCCCGAACTAGCCTTCCAGGGACTAGACTTTTAAAATCGTTGGACCCGGTGTAAACTCAGAAATTACTAGTAATTAACAGATTTCTCTAACTTTAAAAAGTAAACTAACATCACATCTCATCACAGTCACCTCCAAATAGAAGTCCATTTCAGCAAAAAATGTCAAAAAGTAACTAATACTGACATATCATCAGGTTAAAAGAGGAAAATAGCCTTCAGATCATGAAAGTGAATGGCGCTTACACAAACAGTCAAAAGACTAAATTTTCAATAAACAAAGAAGGCCTCAAACAAAGTTCTTCAAAATACATGTACGTGTAGCAAAAACGTATTGGCAGACCTAACATGAAGTTAAATGAGGCTTGGCAGAAAACAATATCACGTCATTACAAAAAAAGATCATTTGCTCAGAAATTAATTACATGAACACGTATTCAATTTACAATGTCGTTAAAGACAAGCTGTCGGTTTCGTAAAGTTTGCGTTGTCGCCTCTACAAAATGAGGCTTAGTTGTAGATTGAAGGCCAGGAGGTATGCCCCCCCCCTTGCTTCAGGGGACCATAGCGAAATGTTTTCATCCTGGAAGGACAAACTGCCCCATGTCTGTCTGCGGGATGGCATGGTGTTGGTGTCGGTTGTGATCGCAGTCAGGCCGGAGCGGCGTGCTGGGCGCGGGGTGCACCCCGGGCGGGAGTGCAGCGGGGCCGGCCTGGGTCGTCGGAGCCTGTCGGGCGCTTTAACACAGCACCCTCGCCTTTAGATCTGAGCCTGGGTGTGCAGTCTGCCTGTTTGCCTCCAGCCTGGCCTGCAGGACATGGAAAAACGAAAATCTAAGTCAAAAGTCGAAGGCATTTTTGAATTTCATTTGAAGTTACGTGTACAATTTTGTCCAGATGAAAAGGCTCCATTCATCAAGCATCAACGTCTACTTGTTTCTTTTCATTGTAATCATGGGAACAATACAAACACAACATTTCCCTCGGTATTGAAAACAATTCAAATTGTCAAGAGCCTTGTCGGCCTTCGTATGCAAAGATATACATTTGCATAGACTCACCCTCTTCTGTGTGACTGCAGTCGCTTTTCTTTCTTTCTTTTCTGAGCTCTCCGACAGCCTGGCGATAAAGTTTCTTCAAATCGTCTCAAAGTATCCCAAATCCGCGCCTGAAAAAAGTACATATGTTCTGAGCAACATACAAACTATATCGATGTGTTAGGAGTAGATATGGGAGTAGATAAGACTGTGACCACACGGGCGGTCAAGACATATGGTCTTCATTAACGCTCACCCCGCTAGTCTCGGCTACCCTACAGATGTACTTCTAAGTAGAAATAATAAACTATGTTATTAATCAGTAAAAAAATAGTGTACACTTCTTGCCAAAATAAATATTTCTGCTGTAGGCACAACTTAGCCAAGGTTTTTAAACAACATGTTTAAGATATATGTAACGATAGTGCCGTATATATAATAGTATCCTTGTTTTAGCTTACCCTTCCTCCTGTCGGTTTGCTGGTTCGTTGCGGTGTTGTCCTTTCAATGTAGTAGAGTCATTTCTTCCGTTGCGAAAACGAAGTAACAGAACGGAATGTTTGACGCCATTTTAGTTCAGGAACATACTAGTAATCTTTGCAAGCCGAGACAAACGTGTTTTGAAAAAGCAAACCGTCGTTGTGACAAAGCAAGATTCAAACGACCCACCAAAACAAAGCATCGCGTCTCTTATTGGCTGGTCCCGGCGAGAGCGAGGTAGGATTGGTCGTCAGTCATATAATCACGTGATCGCGTTCAATACTACACCCATCTTGTTTTTAGATTATAGGTTTTAAGTAATTAAATCGCCTGTGCAGTCTGAACACTTGGATGATAGGATGTTTCTGATTGTGTGAATGTATTTATTTCAAGGCAGACAAATGATCTTCATAATTCTAATTCGTCATGATTACATGGCTTTATTCGTTCTAGAATTACACAACTTGTCGCTCACTAAGTGAAATAAAACCGCACTTCAACTCCAACATAACCTTACTCTTTGTAAATGTATCCAAAATCCACAATTAATGTCATGAGGGTTGACTTGTTTTGCTGGATTTCAGTATTTTACCAGGCATGGGGACGCTGTGAGTTCTCCCTTTGTTTACACAAAGGCTATTCACATAAACGGACGCCATGTCAGACACATCACAATACACATCGACCGAACTACAATGTAAAGCTTGCATATTATTACCCATACATGTACCTAAAAATCATAACAAACTGATCAGGTCATGTTAGTTCAAACCCCTTTAGTCAAGCGTTTGATTACATCATGGTAATGAACCTCACGGATAAACTATTATTTCCAAAATAAAAAATTCTGATTTAGACCGGAGTGTAGATTTAGGTCATTTTGACCGAGTAGGTTATATAACCCCAGCGTCGGGGCGCCCTACGCTCAAATGTGCTTTGTCGTATGGACGACATGACGATAAATCAAGCCAAGGACGCATAGGTTCAAATGTTGTATTAACAATCCTTGATCATTCTATATCTAATTTGCTTAGATTAAAGTACTGGCAACTTTGGTTCAAGTAATTATCACCTGAAACATGAATACACGCAGTACCTAATTACCCCTTATTGTTAGCCGCTCCCCAACACACGCCAAGTGTGCGGGGCGTAAATTTCCGTGCACGTGCACGGCGAGCACGAATCCGGGAGTGTAAGGAAATATCCGGGGCCGTACACGCGGAGCCCGGAAATCCATGGACGCGACCAGGACACGGCGAATTTCACGAGCGTGTGCGGGACTGGAAACTCTTGGAAACGTGGTTTTTCATACAGTGATTTCAACATCAATTGACAGGCAGATTTTCACTGTCCCTGTCAAGTTTCTTTGACCGAGACAGTTGTATTGTGTAAAAAGCAGTGACTCACATCATTTTACTGAACAATTGTAATTTTCATACACAGGAGGTTTTTGCCTTGGTCAGATTCCTGTGCATGTTACCATACTTACCACTAGTTGATGAATTTAGAAAAATCATTAAAATAGTCTCTCAGTCTATATCTGATATTTTACTCACATAATCTGACAGCTGCAGTAGGCAATCCTGATATGGTAGTTGCCAATCCAGTACAAGGCAATCCTGATATAACTTTAGAACCATGTTCCAGCATATGAAGGATTCCTCCCCCCTGTACATGTGTACATATTGTGTATTATGTACATGACAAGCCAGAAACAAGATGTTTGTTTGCAATATATAGAGGAGACTTACCTTGAATATTTCATCCAACCTTACCTTTAAATCTAGTCAGAATATCTTCAGTTGGCCCCTTCTTGTCGCACCTTCGCAGCTGTTCTGCCAGCATAGGATTTGTGCTTTGGCAGCTGATCTAAAATACAGTGTAGCAAACAGTTTTTGATTAGTCTTGTTTATCGTCTGAAGCCGGGTATTTTAATATTACGTAACAGTGATTTGTAAATAATCATAGTCTATGGGTTGCTGAAAATTTCAACTATCGACATGGGCTTGTTTGCTAGTGTGAATTTTTCTATCATTTTAATTTTTTTTCTCTTCCCAACATTTTAGAGTAAATATAGATAGAGTTTGTATAATGAGATCTGCTTCAAGATTTTTTATTATTAAAAGTGACAATCAACAGTGGTTGAAAATATTCTTGTGAGGCTCTGTTAATTTCGTGCTTCTTAGAAATATTATGTTGATTGTCTGGATTTGTTGTCAGTTTGAATATTGACAATTTGAGCAGGTTGTTTACTCCAACAGTGCTAAAGCGTGATGATTGTATATAATATATCTCTAATAGTCTATGTTTATGTTGCCTGTCTTTTGTTTGCCCTGCTGATAAGACATGACAAAACATTACATACAAGGTGGCTTAACAATCTACAAAACTATGATTATAATTATATTACATTATTCTATGTAAATAAAAAACTTTTAAATTATACAAAGGCACTTATAATCTATGAGGGATTCCATGTGGAGAGGTCAGGGTCAGTGTGAATAGATATAAGACTTGCCCAGACAGTCCTAGAGCTTAGTCTGATATTTTTCTTCTAGGCTGAAGAGAAGTGGTCTAATTATAAGGGCCAGTACGGGGTGTGTGAATGTCAGGATAACTATCAGTGGACCTGGGTGTTACTGGTTCACTGTGCACTGAAGATAAGCTGTTACTGCTAACATTGCAGTCACAAAATTAAAGTATTTTTTCATTGCAATTTGTAATTTTTTTTATAATATATACTTTTTAGGCTGGAGAGAAGTGGTCTAAGGGCCATTGTGAGCAGAGTGAGTGTCAGGATAACTACGAGAGGACCTGCTACTTTTCTTTTCATAACTCATACGTATGTTTTATAATCATACTATACATTTATCCCTTCTAGGCTGGAGAGAAGTGGTCTAAGGGACGGTGTGAGCAGTGTGAATGTAAAGATAACTACGAGAGAACCTGCTACAAGACCCGCTGCAATGTGGTTTTAATACTGTAATACATACTATTTTTCTATGAATAACCCAATTTTTTTAATATCATGCATACATAATCTTATATTTTAACATCTACATTGTAGGCTGGAGAGAAGTGGTCTAAGGGCCAGTGTGAGCAGTGTGAATGTAAAAATAACTACGAGAGAACCTGCTACAAGACAGGCTGTAACACTGACTCCAGCTCCTGTCAGGACGGGGAGATGTTCTATGATGACACTGACAATGGAGGCTGCTGCGGGTGCAGGCAGTTTACAAGTGAGTTTACTTACTAATAGAGGTTTTCTGTTTCTGCAAAAACTATAAATTTATATAAGCAGAGCTAGCTTAATATATAATTTTCAAGTCAATCAGAGAATCACTGAATATATTATAGTTTCTGAATCTTTATCTTGTCCACATCCTGATCTTGAGAGTTAGGGACTGTTGTTTCCAGCACCATGCTTCATCCAGAACCATACTCAGGCATGGTTCTGGATAGTCCCCTTTCTTATGCAGAGACTATCCAGAACCGTGCCTGATGCTAACCCTAACATTCAGACATAGAGCAAGATAGGCACAGTTCTGGATATGATTGGGAGCCGTTAAAATGTCTGATAAAATGTTTTTGTTGTAGCTATCACCACAACCACAGCCTCCAGTACATATGTGACAACCCGGCTGCCTCCTTACACAACTCCTGCTGTCTGTGAGGTGAGTTTTCAACATGTCTACAAAACTTAGGTTTACATTGTGTAAGCTTAGGGCATGCTAAATGATGGAAATTTAAGGACTAGATACATGTTACTGTACTAAAATACAGTTATTCTGACTAACAGCTTTAGTCTAGCTATACTAAATTTCAATTCTACCAATGAAAGCTAAATCTATTGCATGTTTTTCTTGAGGAGAGTATTACATTTTCTATAATTCAGGAGATATGTCACTTTTGTAGCAATTCGTGTATACATGATGTTATGCTATAAATGATTTGTATTTGCTACAGGATGGTAGCGAGTGGGTAGCAGATGAATGCCACTCCTGTCGATGTGTGAACGGCCAGTCAGAATGCTACAAGGCCTGCAACAAGGACAGCTGTGCTGAGGTGACTATACTTTTTTGTTTTTTTATTTATTTATTAATCTTTCAAACATATGGGTAGTCCCTTCAGCTGTTGAAGGCTGATTTCTACGGGGGCCAATGGAAACATGATACAAGAAAGTAATATAACATAAAATAATAATTAAACATACATGTAACAATTTCATTTTTATTTTATTCACATTTATTTTTCGAGGATTGGGCAAAAAGTTATAAAACTTATCTCAGCCCTCTCCTCACACATAAAAGGAAACAATAAAATAAAGTAATAATAATAATAATAGTAAGAAAGGACAAAGGTACATAATGAGCTGGTGTACAAATCAAAATCAATCAACTAAATCAAACAAAACGTCCTGTAACAATATAGTCACGTAAAGCAATTAAGTAACAAAGGAATTTGAAAGTCATAAAATTCATACCTCCACATAAGGAAAACATTGTCTTAGTTCTTCTGTTCCTTCTTCTTCCTCTCCAAACAAATATATGTAATGTTAATGATGACCTGGACCAGACGTCTGTCACCATGGTAACTGAGTATTTGTTGCTTTTGTTCTCAGGGTTACAGGCTGGTGCAGGAGGAAGGAAAGTGCTGTGAATGCAGAGCAATCAGTAAGTTACAAATTTAAAACATCATTTATTTTGAAATTCATAACATTAAAATCATCATTTTTATTATAAAACCTACAGTCAGTCAAGTTTCCAAACCTGCCTACCTGCCTAAGTTTCTAAACGTTATGATTAAAAACTGTCAAAGGCACAAAATTATCATCATGATGATAATGTTATTGAATGTGTTAATTTGTAATCATATACCAGTGTTGAAAGAAGCTTTACTTATTATAATTATTATTTATTAATTGTACAAAGTTTTCCTGCCCTTTTATCTTTCCTAAACATGTTCTCCTTTCCAGTTGCAACCACATCTAAACCGTCCCCATACCCAGAGTACACTACTGCATCCACTGCTACTGAGGCTACTGAAGCTACTGAAGCTACTGGGCCTACAGCTACAGGGTCAACGACCCCCAGCTCTGGAGTCACCACCCCTGTTGGTAAGGACAGTTTAAACTTTGGTGTACAGACTCAATGGAGCTGGTTTAATTTATGTTTGGCAGCAAAGTAAGCAAATCATTGCACCTTCATTGAACCATCAAATCGTCGAACCATATCAATTATACATACAATTTGTTAGAATATCATGATTGTTGTACAATGTTATATATACCTTAATGCTTGTAGTCAAACCTATCATACTCTTCATCTTTTGTAATATTTCTAAACCAAACAAAAACAACACTTTGTGTCTCCATGAATCTTTCTACTATTACATATTTTCTTAAGTCCACCCCCTTGCACCTTCAGTGCAATCTTCAGATATTATTAAGCATATGAAAGCTATTACATAATTATGATCATTGTAATTTTGCATTTTGTCTCCAGTATGTTCCGCCCTTCTGCTTGCCATGCAGTGCAGCTGTAACCGGACCTGTAGTATGGTGTATGAGGAGTGTAGTGGGGAGAACTGTGCAGATAAGCATGATGTATGAAGGCTAACAGATGGAATGAATGTTTTATTTTCCCTGCAGTCTGTTCCGCCCCGCTGGTTGCCATGCAGTGCAGCTGTAACCGTACCTGTAGTATGCTGTATGAGGAGTGTGGTGAGGATAACTGTGAGATGGGCTGCTACTGTCCTGAGGGAACCTACAGGGACGGGTCCAGGTGCATCCCTGAGACAGAGTGTCCGTGTGTCTACCAGGGAAAAACTTACGCTGTAAGTCTTAAGGAAACATGCTACAATATGTACATATGTATTAGGATTCTAATATAGGAAATGCTGGTATAAATTAAAGTCACCACATTGTCTCAGTGACCACTTTTTGGTCTTGTCGTATAACATTGGATGGACGTATTTTGTTCTCTTAGAAATGTGTAAACTTTGTTTTTTGCTGGTTCCCTCATTCCTATACTATATTTAGACAAAATGTCATGTACAACATACTTCTTATGGTGATTAGAATATCTAAAGCAGTGTAACATAGCATGTTAAAGAATCATGCTGTGTATGATAAACAGTTAAGGAAAATTCTTGTATTATAAAATTTAATCCTAAAAGAAAATGTTCTGCAAACATGGTAAAATCTTTCTCGTAAACTTTCAAACACATCTATTTGCATTTATTGTACTGGATAAGATGTGCAATTAATGTTCTTTATATTGTATTTAGTCTGGTGGAAGGTGGCTGGCTAATGAGTGCACCTTGTGTATCTGCCAAGAACGTCTGGCCTTCTGTACCAAGAAGTGTGACAAGACTTGTGCAGAGGTGAGTTATTTTTTACAACTGTTATATCTGCATTGTACGTTTTAACAGCAGCATGTTGCAGCAGACTCATTGGTGTAACAGTAATCACTCCTGTTGCATCCAGAATCATGCTTTTTCCAGAACCATGCTCAGGCAAAGTTCTGGATAGTCCCTGTGTATCCAGAACAGTATCTACGTTCTTGGATATTACAGTATCCAGAACCATGCCTGAACCTAACCCTAACCCATTCAGGCATAGATCTACATGTAGTCACAGGCACGATTGCAGATACAATAACTCCGTATCTGTTACAAGCAGCATGTTTATGTTTTCTCATTTTTCACCCAGGATGAAGAGCTGATCAATCCCTCAGGAAGCCAATGCTGCTATTGCCAATCATGTAAGGCATTAGTCACTTTAATGTTCAAAGTATATTCAATAAATGTGTGTTTCTTCTCTAAGCATTTGTCTTTGCTTCCAAATCGTACAAAAATGCAATGTTGGGTGGCTTAGCTTTAGGTTAGCCTTGCCCCAGCACTTACAAAATTATTAAAATTTCCATTATAGTGCCCTCAGAAACCACCGTCACTGCCACAACAGCCGTCCCCACAACTCCGACCTCGTCCGAGTCTGTCACCACGGTTACGCCCACAACAGAGTTCCCCAGCTCCACACCAGAGCCGTGCAGTGGCTGTTATGTACAGGGAGACTGCCTGGAGGTAACAAAATGGTCATTCCTGATAAACCTCCTTTTATGAATGGACTATTCATACCCAGAACACAATGATCATCATAATGTTTGCTAAGGTGGACTTCTCCTACAGAAATGCCTTTCTCAGAAATGTGTAGCATTTACAATATTAGTCCATATTACTTCAGAATATATGAAGTCATTATATTCCTCATTCTAAGATGTATTCAGTAATACTAAATGCTCATGGACAGAAACAGTTCTCATACCTGACAGTATATTTTCATGGTTTTTGGATAAATACTTGTTGACTTTAGTCTACTGTTCTGTTTCTGTCATGACATCCCTGAAGAAAAGTAGTGGATGTGACCTGAAACTTCTGACTGTTTTCGAAATCTATCCAGTTGCTTGAGGAACTGTTACTTTAGTAGCTGACAAATTACATTTTACCCAAATAATTCAGGTTGGTAGTGTATGGAGGTCTGACCCCTGCACCACGTGTGAGTGTGAGTCCCAGGGAAACACAGAGTGCACCACCCTGGAGTGCGCTGTCCCCGTGTGTGAAGACGGGATGAAGCTGGTGCACAAACCTGACCAGTGCTGCCCGGTGTGTGATGAGCACTGCCCCGGACAGTTCCCCTGTAATCACACAGACTGTATCCCCCTGTCCTGGGAGTGTGATGGGAAGGCAGACTGTGATAACGGAGCTGACGAGGCTTTCTGTGAGACGGAGATTCCCCCTACACCCGCCCCAGGTTAGTGACAAACTATCAACATCTTCTGGTATCTAATATATACCAAACTGGAGTTGTATTCTAGACTTTGCAAGTCAATTTCAGTGGTCTCAAATTTGTGTGTTTTGGATCAAAATTGCTGTTAGTTTGGTAAAAAATTTTTTGAAGAACTTAATTTGATATTTGTCTCGTACTATATTTGTATCACTTGAAAATTAAGCTAGCCTTTCACTACTAGTATTTGAAAAGCTGGATAAAATTTTATCGTGTCAAATTTTTTGGTAAATTCATTTCATTTTTGTCTCTTGCTATATTCCCAGTTGAAAAACTGGAAAAAGTCTTTTGCAGTACATAAGAGTAGGGCTTTCTACAAAATTCTATTCAGTTGAACAAGTCTTGTAAACTCTATGGGACTCAAACATGTATGATAAGACACATTAATACTAGATTATGATTTTCCGAATGTGAAACAATTTTTCTAACTTGTCTGTATCTACTTTCCTCAGTGTGTCAGTACCCGTACGCTGTGTCTGAGTGTAAGCCGTGTCTGGAGAAGGTTTGCCATGTGCTGAAGGACTCCTGCCAGCCCATGGGGGAGGGGTGCTGCGAGTGTAGCGGGAAGTCTGTCTTCAACGGCAGCCGGTGTGTGGATCCCATCGACTGTACCTGTCTGGACGATGAAGGCATCGTCAGGATGGTAAGTTGTGAATCTGGAGAAAATCTTCAGCTTCTTTACATTAGGGTACATCCCTAGATAGCTTTAAACAACAAACATTTACAATTACATGTAGATGTTCAAAGATTAGGTATGACAGGTTGTTTCAGTGTCTGGACCCCATCGACTGTACCTGTCTGGACAACAAAGGCATCGTTAGAATGGTAAAAGTGTCCTGGTGAAATTAGAGAAAAACTCTGGCATCTACTATGTTGGTTTATGGCCATTTTATGTCTTCCGTGGTAAGGCTGTAACCATTGGCCAAAGCCAAAGACATAACCGTTCTTTACTTCGGTGTCTAATGGTCACTCCTTTGGCCAGCCTTGTCACCGTAGAATCTGCTTGGAGATTACATTTTTACTATGTCTATGTCAGAGATACCATACAGAGGATGGGTTGACAGTTTTGTAGTTGGTCCCACCATTCGTTGGTTTGCTCATTATCTTGCTGGATTTGATACTGTTCTCCTTTTAATTTTACTGTGTACAAATAATACAAATTCCTTCTCTGTTCCAGCCCAAGGAGACCTGGACAGCCGGCCCCTGTACGGAGTGTGCCTGTTTCGACAACAGGGTGGAATGTGAGAGTACTGTGGACTGTGCTGCTGTCTACTGTGATGAGGTAATTAAAAACAACTTGAAACTTAACTTTAAGATTTCACTTATTAATAACAAATCTTTGTGAGGTATAGGTAGCATAGGTAGAATTGAAATCTTGTATAAAGCCATTCTCCTAGCAATGTATAGTACTACTCAGTCCAACAGAAGTTCTGAATCAGCACTAGCTTGCATTTGTTCTTGCAGTAATGTTCAGGAATAAATGTTACAGCCATTGCCATTTTCTTAGAGGTTTTGTTATTGTTCAACTTCTAAGAAATTCTGTTCTGATGCAAGATTGGTGCAGTTACACTTCACCTCGATCATTAAGTATAATGACTGACAAGAAGTAGTGGATGCTACTTGAAACAGTTGACAGTTTTCAAAATCTATCCAGTTACTTGATCAGCTGTTATCTGAAGTATCTCATTACCTGCATATTGTCTAACCTTCATTGACAAACCTGAACCATTGCTCCCAGGCCACACAAGTGCGTACCAGGATGGCAGGAGAGTGCTGTGACCGCTGTGCCTGCCGAGGGTTTGACTGTGGAGACGGTCAGTGTCTGGCCACTGATGACCAACAGTGCAACGGTGTCATTGACTGTGCAAACGGCAGTGATGAGGAAAACTGTGAAGAAGGTACATTTATTAGTAGTCCTTTAGATAAAATCTATCCAAAATTAACTAGGGCAAGAGGGTTACGTTCTACAGTCATCAAATGCTTCAATTTCAGTTTTATTGCATGAAAATTTTGTTTTAGATTTAGCAAAGCAAAAAAAAAGCAGTTCATTACAAATTACCTGATACAACTTGTTAGAAATTACTGCCAGTAGATATTTTTGTGGACATTATTATACTGGAGAAAGAAAAATCATTAAAGAAGAAATGATTCATGCATTTTGTTATTCCTTTTAATCATTTTGTTGAACAATTATCCTTATTCCTTTGCTAGTTTACACAACTCTGAAACCCAAGATGGAAACCACACCATTCTCTGAGCTGACTACAGGAAAGCCTGGTGCAACCACCACCAAACCTTCAGCACCAGGGACAGAGCCTACAGCTCCCTACCCCTGTGAGGGCAAGTGGACAGAGTGGATGAACTCCTTCTATCCTGATGTCATCTCTGGTGGAGACTTTGAGACGTTTGAAAACTTGAGGAAGAAATATGACTTCTGTGGGCCTGAGATGATCACAAGTAAGTGCATACCCTGACAATGATGCTTGTTTATAATAATAGTAACAAGGTAAATTCCAAACATTTTTGTTCCAGTCTTCTATTCTTATCAATTCTTACTGCTTTTGCAATTTTGCATTTCCTTTTGAAAAAACATATGAGAATTCTGACTATCTGGTGGATACAGAATCTATTAGTGAAACTTGTGTGTACAAAATTTTTACAGACATTCAGTGCCGTGTGGACAGCCGTTTGGAGATGGACTACTCCAGGACTGGCCAGGATGTGACCTGTGACATCCACCAGGGTCTGGTTTGTGAGAACTCTAAGCAGCGTGGATTCCTGCCTTTCTGCTACAACTACAAGGTCAGGGTGTTCTGTGAATGTGGTGGGGAGAGTACAACAACTGAAAGGCTTACCACAACCAAGTCATCTGAGATGACCACAGGTGAGCCTTCGGGTGTCTACACCACAGGCAAGCCTTCTGAGATGACTACAGGTGAGCCTTCAGGAGTCTACACAACAGGCAAGCCTTCAGGAGTCTACACAACAGGCAAGCCATCTGAGATGACTACAGGTGAGCCTTCAGAAGTCTACACCACAGGCAAGCCATCTGAGATGACCACAGGTGAGCCTTCAGGAGTCTACACCACAGGCAAGCCTTCTGAGAAGACCACAGGTGAGCCTTCAGAAGTCTACACCACAGGCAAGCCTTCTGAGATGACCACAGGTGAGCCTTCTGGTGTCTACACTACAGGCAAGCCTTCAGAAGTGACCACAGGTGAGCCTTCAGATGTCTACACCACAGGCGAGCCTTTTGGAGTCTACACAACAGGCAAGCCATCTGAGAGGACCACAGGAAAGCCTGGTGCAACCACCACCGAGCCTTCAGCACCAGGGACAGAGCCTACAGCTCCCTACCCCTGTGAGGGCAAGTGGACAGAGTGGATGAACTCCTTCTATCCTGATGTCATCTCTGGTGGAGACTTTGAGACATTTGAAAACTTGAGGAAGAAATATGACTTCTGTGGGCCTGAGATGATCACAAGTAAGTACAGCCTCCTTTTTTGCACAGCCTGTTTGTCATTTTCCACAACATGGATGGCTATCTTCTTCTTCGTTATTGTTGACAAAACACAATCAATTTATTTCCTAAATAAACTGATGATCAACTTGTATAGGACTGACTGCTGGTTTTCTAATGCTGTTTCCACTTCTGTTTTTAGACATTCAGTGCCGTGTGGACAGCCGTTTGGAGATGGACTACTCCAGGACTGGCCAGGATGTGAGCTGTGACATCCACCAGGGTCTGGTTTGTGAGAACTCCAAGCAGCGTGGATTCCTGCCTTTCTGTTACAACTATAAGGTCAGGGTGTTCTGTGAGTGTGGTGGGGAGAGTACAACAACTGAAGGGCTTACCACAACCAAGTCATCTGAGATGACCACAGGTGAGCCTTCGGGAGTCTACACCACAGGCAAGCCTTCTGAGATGACCACAGGCAAGCCTTCAGGAGTCTACACCACAGGTGAGCCTTCAGGAGTCTACACCACAGGCAAGCCATCTGAGATGACCACAGGTGAGCCTTCGGGAGTCTACACCACAGGCAAGCCTTCTGAGATGACCACAGGCAAGCCTTCAGGAGTCTACACCACAGGCAAGCCTTCTGAGGTCACAACTGGAAGTGCAACAGAGTCTGTTACCACTGTTGCTGAAGGGACAACAGCCTTGCCTCGACGAAGTGAGTTAGAATTGATACAGCCTAAAATTCTTTTGTTATACAATTTTACTTTACTTAGCAGCTTTCAAAGATGTTTGATTTGAAGCATATTTTAAATAAAATCTTGACATCAATGTTCCAGCCTGTTCCTGGGAGTGTGAGTGCCTGGTTGGATGTGAAGGTAACATAGTGGCCGAGTGTCCACGTATCGCCGGGTGTAACTACTGCGCCTGTCCTAACAAACACATTTTTATTCTCTAGGAACATCCTACATGCCTACAACTACATGTATAGGAACTGTAATTTATTCTTATAAAACCTGACATCAATGTTCCAGCCTGTTCCTGGGAGTGTGAGTGCCTGGTTGGCTGTGATGGGAACGTGGCTGCTGAGTGTCCACGTATCGCCGGGTGTAACTACTGCGCCTGTCCAGACCCTGCCATGGAGAAGGTTGGAGGAAGGTGCGTCATCAGGCCATCATACGAGGAGTGTGTGCTCACAACAACTAGGGGACCTCAAGGTAGATTTTTGTACTGTATGTTCTGTATCAGTATAGCCAGTATAACCACCATTGAGCATAACACACCAGCTTTCATAAAGGTTACATCACATTCGATGTAAAGAGCTGCATAATTTTGATGCCATAGTAGTAGTTTCAAGCAGACTGTGACTGATTACAATCTACAATCAAGAGTCAAGGTGAATTTTGCAACATACATAGAGAGCTATCCCAAGAATGCCCTCAGTTTCCTTGCACAAAATCTATTTGTCTTTTCATTTGTTCACAACAGTTTTCTTTGTTTGGTACCTAACAGAAAAAATTGTTTCTTTTTCATCAAAGTAACAACTCTTGGTCCAAATGGGAAGTATACTACCAAACCTGGATACACTGGTCACCCAGAGTACAGCACAGGCAAGCCTGAATACACAGGTCACCCAGAGTACAGCACAGGCAAGCCTGAATACACTGGACACCCAGAGTACAGCACAGGTCACCCAGAGTACAGCACAGGCAAGCCTGAATACACAGGTCACCCAGAGTACAGCACAGGCAAGCCTGAATACACTGGACACCCAGAGTACAGCACAGGTCACCCAGAGTACAGCACTGGTCACCCAGAGTACAGCACTGGACACCCAGAGTACAGCACAGGCAAGCCTGAATACACTGGACACCCAGAGTACAGCACAGGACACCCAGAGTACAGCACTGGACACCCAGAGTACAGCACAGGCAAGCCTGAATACACTGGTCACCCAGAGTACAGCACTGGCAAGCCTGAATACACTGGTCACCCTGAGTACAGCACAGGCAAGCCTGAATACACTGGACACCCAGAGTACAGCACTGGCAAGCCTGAATACACTGGACACCCAGAGTACAGCACAGGCAAGCCTGAATACACTGGACACCCAGAGTACAGCACTGGTCACCCAGAGTACAGCACAGGCAAGCCTGAATACACTGGACACCCAGAGTACAGCACAGGCAAGCCTGAATACACAGGACACCCAGAGTACAGCACAGGCAAGCCTGAATATACTGGACACCCAGAGTACACAACCGGTCACCCAGAGTACAGCACAGGAAAACCAGGCACCACCAGTCCATATGTGCCTGGACACACCACCAGTCAACCACTTGAAACCACCACTCCCTACAGGAAACGTGGTATGTACCAAATGTGTATTAATTCTGTGAAATAGGTACAAATACATGTTATAACCTAGATTGAATTACACATTGTAAACACAGCTACTCTAAACATTGGTAGTTTGGCTCTTTTAACTTACCATGGTCTAGACATAAGAAATAAATGTGTTTGCCACAAATGTTAGTCTTAGTTTAAATTTTGAAAGTGTCTTGAAATGTTCAAATAAAATTTAACAGTTTTTATGATTAATTTTTCCTTGCACTACCTCAGCATGGTTGGCTATGTCCTTGGTGCTGAATATTCAGTTGCTGTAACCTTTGTTCTATCCCGTTATTTCAGAATGCTCTCCCAAGTGCGACTGCAAGATTGGTTGTGATGGAAGCGTAGCCCACTGCCAGGCCATCTCAGGCTGCTCTGCTAGTGCCTGTATCTGCACAGAGTACACCAGCGGACGTGCCTTCGGAAGGTGCCTGCGACTCCCAGACGTTGAAGACTGCCAGGCTACAACTGAGAGTCCAATTGTAACAACACTGAGGGCTGAGAGTACTGAAGGACTCGAGACAACTCAGGGACCAACTGTCACAGGTACATCAGAGCCATTGACTACAGGGAAGCCAAGCTCTACTGAGAAGCCAGGTGCTACAGAGAAGCCAGGTGCTACAGAACAAACTGGAACAGAAAAACCAACCGCTACAGAGCCAAGTGCAACAGAGAAGCCAAGTGCTACAGAAAAGCCAATTGCTACAGAGCCAACTGGAACAGAAAAGCCAACTGGAACAGAAAAGCCAACTGGAACAGAGAAGCCAAGTGCCACAGAGCCAAGTGCTACAGAAGAGCCAAGTGCTACAGAGAAGCCAAGTGCCACTGAGCCAAGTGCTACAGAGAAGCCAACTGCTACAGAGAAGCCAAGTGCTACAGAGCCAAGTGCTACTGAAAAGCCAAGTGCTACAGAGAAGCCAAGTGCTACAGAAAAGCCAAGTGCTACAGAGAAGCCAAGTGCTACAGAAAAGCCAAGTGCTACAGAAAAGCCAAGTGCTACAGAGAAGCCAACTGCTACAGAAGAGCCAAGTGCTACAGAGAAGCCAACTGCTACAGAGAAGCCAAGTGCTACAGAGCCAAGTGCTACAGAGAAGCCAAGTGCTACAGAGAAGCCAAGTGCTACAGAGAAGCCAAGTGCTACAGAGAAGCCAAGTGCTACAGAGAAGCCAAGTGCTACAGAAAAGCCAACAGCTACAGAAGAGCCAAGTGCTACAGAGAAGCCAAGCGCTACAGAGCCAAGTGCTACTGAAGAACCAAGTGCTACAGAGAAGCCAAGTGCTACAGAGAAACCAAGTGTCACAGAACCAGCTGGAACTGAAGAGCCTTCTGTGGAATCGACCAAGTCCTACCCCTGTGAGGGCAAGTGGACAGAGTGGATGAACTCCTTCTACCCTAATGTTGTTTCTGGTGGAGACTTTGAGACTTTGGACAACCTGAGGAAGAAATATGACTTCTGTGGGCCTGAGATGATCACAAGTAAGCTGGACTTCAAATCCCTGAATTTTGTAATTTTTGACATGTAAGGTTTGTGTACTAGAATTTATAAGTACAATGTATACACTGCAGAATTAGGACTGATATCAAAATCATATCTTTTTACAGACATTCAGTGCCGTGTGGACAGCCGTTTGGAGTTGGACTACTCCAGGACTGGCCAGGATGTGACCTGTGACATCCACCAGGGTCTGGTTTGTGAGAACTCCAAGCAGCGTGGATTTCTGCCTTTCTGCTACGACTACAAGGTCAGGGTGTTCTGTGAGTGTGGTGGGGAAACAACCACTGAAGGAAAACCAGAAATTCAGACAACAACAGGCTCAAGTGAGCTAACGTCTGAGAGGCCAGCAACAACAAAAGCACCAGAGTACAAGGGAACTACAACTGTGGCATCTCCTACAGAACTGTCTACTACTGCTGCTGTGCCTACTACAACTAGGAGAAGGAGAGGTGGGGATATATCATGCATTTATGTATTCATTCTGGCAGATGGTTCATGAGAGATTGTCAAATTCTCTTACAGAAAAGTTGATCATTATGATTGTGCTAATTACTGCTGGTTAAGATACCAGCACACATCACAAAGATGAGAGCAACACAGTACTATTTTGCATCCTGCGAACTCTGAAAGTAGAATTTTGTTCCACTTTCCTTAGCTTTCTTGTTTTCATAGTGTTTTTCTTTTCACATGTCTAAATTCCCTTAGCTTAACTCAATGTACACAGGGCTACATGTATATAACACCTTTAAGCTCTTACTAATATTACATGTATGTACAAAAAACAGATTTATAACTTTCTAAAGAAATTATATAAATTGTGAAGGATTTTAGAACTTGAATAACTTTCAGAACAAGTGGTAAACAGCTTCATCATTCTTGTAGATGAAAAATGTGTTTTATATTCATACCGTTCTATTTTTTCTATCTCTCAGTGTGTGAGTCTGTGTGCAGCTGTACATTGGGCTGTGATGGGAACACAGGAGACTGTGAGCCCCTGCCTGAGTGTGACCTGTTCTGTGTCTGTACTGAGCTCACAGATGACAGGGCCAACGGGCGCTGTGCCAGGCAACCTGCAGAGGGAACATGCATTGAAGGTCTGTATTATGTTTTATGGTAGAACCATGCTCAGGCACAGTTCTGGACAATGTGTGTCTAGAACCATGCCTTGAGCAATCTATGATCTTGAATATGCAGAACCATGCCTGGCCCTAACCTTATACCACAAGGCATAGAACTAGATAGGTACGGTTCTGGATACAGTAGTATCCATGTTGGTATAAAACATTGGTGGCTGAATTTAACTTTTTCAATCATAATTGTTAGGAATAGACTCTTATGTTGTGACTGACTTCTTCTGTTAATTACAAATGAAATTTCTCTGCAAACTTACATTTCAAAATCTGCATGTGGTACATGTATGAAAAGGGACTAACGCTCTCTGCCACACTTATTTTTGCAGAAACTACTCCAGTCTTTGTTGGAACCACTTCCTCTCCATATGCTGGGAAGACAACAAAGCCAGTCATGCCTCATACAACTGGCTACCTTGGAACTACAGGCAAGCCTGAATACACTGGACACCCAGAGTACAGCACTGGTCACCCAGAGTACACCACAGGCAAGCCTGAATACACTGGACACCCAGAGTACAGCACAGGTCACCCAGAGTACAGCACTGGCAAGCCTGAATACACTGGACACCCAGAGTACAGCACAGGCAAGCCTGAATACAGCACTGGACACCCAGAGTACAGCACTGGCAAGCCTGAATACAGCACTGGACACCCAGAGTACACCACTGGCAAGCCTGAATACACTGGACACCCAGAGTACAGCACAGGACACCCAGAGTACAGCACTGGCAAGCCTGAATACACTGGACACCCAGAGTACAGCACAGGACACCCAGAGTATAGCACAGGCAAGCCTGAATACACTGGACACCCAGATTACAGCACCGGACACCCAGAGTACAGCACTGGACACCCAGAACACACAACTCATCCAGGTTAGTCATCCCAATATTTCAGCTTGTTTCAGCAGAAATTATTCAAATTCAATATGCTTTTTGTGAGTACAAAATCAACTATCAGCAAAACTGTTTTTCATAAACAATATCCCCCCTATTTGACAGTGTGTGCTGACATTTGCGGCTGTGAGCTAGACTGTTCCGGAGATGACAGCCACTGTATAGAGATTGCCGGCTGCAGTTTTGCCTGCCTCTGTCCTGCTGGGACTGTGAAGATCAGGGGAAGGTGTGCAGCACAGCCAGACTCTTGCAAACCTGAAACCACACAGGCTCCAACTCAAGGTGCTCCTAAGACTTTTTGTGATCATAAAGATCAAAATAATACTAAATGTATATATAATACTAACATACTGGTTGATATGTTTAGAGTTAAAACTTAAGATCCAACACAAAAAATTCTCTCACCTAGAGCTTTTGACCAGTCACTCTGGTCTTCCTCACTGGACTGTCTGTTTTGTCTAAAGTTTTAACTCTAAACATGTAATTGCCAACACAGATGAACTTTCATGATAGTACTGGTTGATAATTTTTTGTGATCCAGACTGTCCAAGTATCTCAAACTGTTGATGTGAAGAAAAAAGTTAACATACAATATTGCTAATACTTTTGCCTAATGTGGAAAGGGAGAGACAGAAACATATTATGTCATTATTCTAGAGATTCTTCACTGTACAATATTCAACATGATCAAAAACACTTTGTTCACACTGTTGCTGAATGCGTTATTTCTGCAGCTGAGACAACTCCAGAGTCACAGAAGGAGACCACACTAGCAGAGCTGAGCACAGAGAAACCTGAAGAACTCACTACTGCACTTCCAAATGGTAAGCAGTACTTGTTTTCCACAAATTTCCATAGTTTATAGACACAACAATTTTCTGGGTGGTCTTAGCCATAATTCCATGCTTACAGATACACTTCAAAACAATGTATTGTTACAACACATCTAAAATATTCAACAGAGATGTGTAGAGAAGTCAAACTTAAGTGAATATTTAAAGTTTTGTCCAAGATGATCATGCGCTGATTTCACTACAGTTCACAAGCACTGTAAAATATAACAGACAAAAAGCAGCAAAATATGTGGAAAATCTTGCTTTACATTAGACTGTCAACAACAACCATGTACATTTAATTTTCCCCCCAGTCTGCCCTGAGACCTGTGAGTGTTACCTTGGATGTGATGAGAGTGATGGAGAATGTACCACGACTGATGGCTGCTCTCTCAGCTGCAGCTGTCGTAATGAGTTTGCCGACCGACGAAACGGGCGCTGCGGCGTCCCACCGTCTTCTGAGGACTGTGAGGCTACAACATCCTCTGTGGAGACAACTGTCACTGTGACAGAGTCACAGCCTCTAGAGACAGCAGGTATTAAGCTATAACTTAATATGCACCTAAAATTATCTACTGTATTAAGTACAGTATCAATGCATAGTGATTACTGTGAGTTTCAAAATAAATTTTGAAAAAATGCATGCATGTAATTTCACTTGATGTTAAAGTATACAATGTATAAAAGGAAAATAATCAGTTTTCAAGAAGCTACTTCTTGCATCATATATAATTATGTACTACTAGAATCAGCAGTAAGTATTTAGAGACTACTGGTAATTTTGTGCTGTTTAAACTATCCTTTACAGAACCAGCAACCACTGCCAAGCCAGCTGGGACTCCCAAGGCACCGGTTGGCATGACAACCACAACTGTAACCATGACAACAAAGACAACTTCTGTAACTGTCACACCAAAGACAGAGGTCAAGACGTCACCAAGCTCAGAAGTTGAGACCACACCAAAGTCTGAGAGTAAGACCACACCAAAGTCTGAGAGTGAGACCACACCAAAGTCAGAAGTTGAAACCACACCAAGGACTGAAGATTTGACCACACCAAAGCCTGAGACAGAGACCACACCAAGCTCAGAAGTTTTGACCACACCAAAGTCAGAAGTTGAAACCACACCAGAGTCAGAAATTTTGACCACACCAGAGTCAGAAGTTTTGACCACACCAAAGTCAGAAGTTGAAACCACACCAGAGTCGGAAATTTTGACCACACCAGAGTCAGAAGTTTTGACCACACCAAAGTCTGAATCTGAGACCACACCAAGCCCAGAAATTGAGACAACACCAGAGACAATCATCATCAAGACTACCGTGGTGCAGACTGTTGCTGTAACAACACAGGAGGTGCCTTTCACAGAGCCAGAGGCTACACAGGGTATGTCAACTTACAAAGTTGCAGTTAACTTTAGTCCACACTTTAGTCTATGAACAAAAAGCAATTTTCTTGAGTATTTTGCTTTCCTCCTTTTGTATGTATGATTCCTTTTTGCTTCTTAACATGTATTATTGTTTTACATACATCATTTTACATTGTACATGATTCTCTAATGTTTTAAATCCAGAGCCTCACTATACAAAGAAACCCACAATGGCAACAGAACAGCCAGAGCCAACTGGGAAGCCAGAGTCAACCAAAGAGCCATGGTCAACAGGCAAACCAGAATACACTGGAAAGCCAGAACCAACAGAACATCCAGAACCAACTGGGCATCCAGAATACACTGAACATCCAGAACCAACTGGGCATCCAGGATACACTGGGCATCCAGAACCAACTGGCAAACCAGGATACACTGGAAAGCCAGAACGAACTGGACATCCAGAATACACTGGAAAGCCAGAACCAACTGGACATCCAGAATACACTGGAAAGCCAGAACCAACTGGACATCCAGAATACACTGAGCAGCCAGAACCAACTGGGCATCCAGAATACACTGGAAAGCCAGAACCAACTGGGCATCCAGAATACACTGAGCAGCCAGAACCAACTGGGCATCCAGAATACACTGGGCATCCAGAACCAACTGGGCATCCAGGATACACTGGGCATCCAGAACCAACTGGCAAACCAGGATACACTGGAAAGCCAGAACCAAC